ACTTACCCTCTTTTTTTATTTTAAAATATACCATTTAGTTAACTGCGGAATTATGTTCAATTTTTGTCCAAAGAAATTGATTTGGATTTATTTATATAATTTACTTTCCTTGCTTCTATGATTGCATGTTTTATTTAATATTATTATGACTGAAGTTGTGTGTTAAGTTACAAACAATTAATATTAATTATTTAGACTATAGTATTGTGAATGAATAGTATATATTTTGACATTGTGTAGCTCTTCGATCTGTTAGTTGTGTTGTGAAAAAATTAACAATTGTTAATATTTAATAATAAAAAAGAAATTAATGATAGCTGTTAAATTTTTATAACTTAGAATGTGTAGTATATTTTTAAAATACTATTTCCATTTTATTTTTTTGTAAATTTATTTATTCATTATTCTAACACTAACAATATTGCTTTKATTTTGATTTTTTTKATCAACTGCACAACACGGAATTAACACAATATTGCACTTGATTGCACGGTAAGTCCAATGAAACACACAACTTTTATAATCAACATTAAACACTCGCTTTCAATACTTAAAACGTTGTGAAATTGTCAGCGATTAAACTTTAATAATATATTCATGCAAAATATTAGAAAGAAATAGTAATATCTAATACTTCAGTACAAATTTTCTTAATTTATTACATATTAATATTATATTATGACCTTATATTAAAACCTTACAAGACTAGTGATTCAAATTGTATGAATGTGAAAGTGAATTTAAATTTGCAAAACTATTTTAAGTATACATACCTAAAATTTGTTCTCATATATTTTTAAATCTTTATTTGGTATTTAGTTATGATTCATGAACCTGCAGTACTAATCGAAGGTGTTTTATTCCGAGCGCGCTACTTGGGTTCTACGCAGTTGGCTTGTGAAGGACAACCAACMAAAAGTACTAGGATGATGCAAGCCGAAGAAGCTGTGTCTAGAATAAAAGTAATGTTACTAATCTTATTTTGTTTTAAATCTTTTGTGTATTCAATTTATTTTATTCTGCTTCGTTACATTTGGATAATAATAGGCTTTGGTAAGTTTGATGAGTAAAATTAATCAACTGTGTTTATATTAATTGTATTGCAAAAATAATTTCTATTTGTTTTGGCAGGCTCCTGATGGCGAGACTCAGCCAAGTACAGAAGTGGATCTTTTTATATCAACTGAAAAAATAATGGTTCTCAATACTGACTTGAAAGAAATCATGATGGACCATGCCCTCAGGACCATTTCTTATATAGCTGATATTGGTGAACTAGTTGTATTAATGGCCCGAAGACGTTGTTTCCTTACGCACCAACCATCTGAATCCACCACGGATAATGCATTAGTGACTTCAAGTGTAAACGGCATTGACAAAACTGCCAACAACAGAACTCCTAAAATGATATGCCACGTTTTTGAAAGCGATGAAGTAAGATATCTAAAATATCTAAATCATTTATAATTATATCTAGAAGTTGACATAATACTAGTGATAGTAAAATGAATCCATCATTTTTAGGTAGGTTTTTTTTATATTTACTCAAGTGTAAATTGACTGACACATTTCATTTATTGATATTAACTATGTAGTTTTTAAAAACATTTGATACCTTTTATATTAATAATGATGGTTTATTTTGTTTAAACTTAACTGAAAATTTTAAATTGATGGCTACCAATTTTTCCTAATTATTTACCGCGAAGTATTGAATTAATGAACATATTATTTTAATTAGGTAAATTTTATATTTTGTTTTAATAATTATATTTATTATATGTAGGCACARTTTATCGCTCAATCTATTGGCCAGGCCTTCCAAGTGGCATATATGGAGTTCTTAAAAGCAAACGGTATTGAGGACCATAGTTTTGTCAAAGAAATGGATTACCAAGAAGTGTTAAATTCACAAGAAATATTTGGAGATGAATTACAAATGTTTGCAAAAAAAGAGTTGCAAAAAGAAGTATGTTATAGTTTGTTTAATTTATCTCAGTTATACTTATTGGATTGTTTTTCTGTCAGGTTGTAGTGCCAAAATCTAAAGGTGAAATACTCGGTGTTGTGATTGTTGAGTCGGGTTGGGGTTCCATGTTACCTACTGTTGTGATAGCCAACTTAGCTCCAGCTGGAGCAGCTGCACGCTGTGGCCAGTTAAATATTGGTGATCAAATCATTGCTATTAATGGTGTATCATTAGTTGGCCTGCCATTATCCACTTGTCAAAAYTATATTAAGGTATTGTCTAATGAATTTATTCATCAAACTATTGCTATTGACTTAATTTTAATAAATTGTTTTTCTTTCTTTTATTTTTTAAAGAATTCTAAACCTCAAACAGTAATCAAATTAACTGTTGTTCCATGTGCCCCTGTGGTTGAAGTGAAAATAAAAAGACCAGACACAAAATATCAGCTYGGTTTTAGTGTACAAAATGGTGTGGTAAGTGATAATGCTATTGATTTTATTATAATATTGTATTTAAATTTAAATATATCTAAAATGTATTTTTTTTGATTTGATATAACAGATATGCAGTTTACTTCGTGGTGGAATTGCAGAACGTGGTGGCGTACGAGTTGGCCATAGAATTATTGAAATAAACAATCAAAGTGTGGTAGCTGTGCCACATGAAAAAATTGTCAACCTGCTGGCAACYTCAGTTGGAGAAGTAACAAAACAATGTCTTATAGCTATTACTATTAAAACTAGTTTTTATCATTAATACTTAACTTATTAAATGCTTAGAAAAATAAATTACAGTAACAAATTACCTATAGATTGTAATATGAAATGTTTTCACAAAGAAACAACGGAGACATTTATTTTTATTTTTATAAATATTATTAATGTGGTATTGAGATGAATCTTTTTTGAAATATTAGCTTTTGGATTGTGTACTGATTCCAATGGTTTTGATATTTTGAAGCCCATCTGAATTTATTTCTGATAAATGAAGTTATTGATTTGAGTTGTTCTATTGTTTACYCAAACAATGTGATACTGCGATAATTACTTAATTATGTARTTAATTGGTTTACCTGTTATATTATAGCTGATTAGTGATTTTATTTTATGTAAATTTAATCAAAAACAATCAATTGTGCAATTAAAATAAATAAAATTCTTAAAATTTTTAAATGTGACCTATACTTTATTCAGCAAGAGAGCACAGCTAGGTGGGAGAAATTAGACCTTGCAATATTATTTGAATGTATAGCAGTTGCACTTTTTGCTGAACAGAGTATAGTAGTATCATTATACTGAAACCTAGTTATTTTCATACATAAATGCTGCATGCACAGTGTGATAGATAATTAAAATTTTTTATTTTATGATATTATAYATATTAAAAATTTCAATGTTAAATATTTTATAATTATATTTATATTCTTTAATGTATTTATTTTTCAGATTTTGATGAAAACAATGCCGACATCAATGTTTCGTCTTCTTACTGGTCAAGAAACACCTGTATTCATCTAGTCTTAAAACATGAATAGTCTATACAATGAATGTAAACATAATTTGCCATTATGAGTTAAAAGTCAAGAGGAAAAGAGTATTTGTGGGATTTTGGCAATATTTTTCAACAAAATATGTTGTACACATTAGGTTTTGTATTTCTCTGAACAATCGTTACACTACCTGGTCAGTTTGTTGACCAGTAAAAAAGGATTCTTGCACTCAACTTGCAGGTATTTTTTCCTCCCATTTCCTTTTTTAAAATAAATATTATCAAGGATCTTAAAAAAGAAAGGAATACGGAAACAATAATTTTCCAAATATCGTTTAATTTTAATTTTTAATTTATATTTTTTGTTATTATTTTGTGAATTTTGAGATTTGGAACTCTAAATAATTAGAGAGAACTTCTCTATATGATGGTTTTATTATACATCACATACACATTTAAATCACAATTTATCAATATTGCCATATCACAAAAAATTATAATGTTATTGTACTATACATTGAATTGTTTTTCTAAGTCTAATCAATCTAATTAAGGCCCTACATTTTATTTTTTCGTACATTATGTTTGTTTTTTTTATATATAATTTTATTTGGTATTTTTTATTATTATTTTTTTTAATGTTGTTATTGTTATTTTATTTTTTAT